CCAAAACCCAGTACTTAAATCTGTCAAGAGGCTTGAAGGAGCTAGGATGGACTGAAATTATTTCATGTGATGATGTTACAATAAATAGTCAGACACCCTCTATTCCTAAATTAAAAATGTTATGTTATTCAGAATCAGATGTGGCTGCTATTATAGACAAATTTAAAATAAAATCTAAAGTTAAAGATGTGTATGGTTTGAATATTTATTTTAGAAATGCTCACAAAGATTCTTTGATGTTTCCAATAACACATATGATTAATCTATCACTCAGGTTTCATGTTGTTCCAACAACATGAAACTCCAATGTACAAACTGGGGAATAAATCAGATCTTAAAAATGACCTGTTAGTATATACTAATATCCTGAAAACATGGTTGTTAGTTTGAGGCAGATAGATTGTAAGTATAGTAAATTCATGAAAAAGAAACAACAAAGCATCACTTCCAGCAGTTTACAACAGGGCACGAGCAGAGAAAAGGGCACAGAGGCTTTGCTTTAGCAGGTGATTTCTCTCTGTGAGAAATGACTTCACGTTTCATTTTCTAATCTTAATTAAATTTTAATGCAATTGCCAAGATTGTTTTGTAATTCATCACTGAATGAAAAGTGCTCTTTCCTCTTAGACAAATTGGATGACAGGTTGACTTCTGGTTGGAAACAATCATGGTGACGTGCCTCCTGAGCCTCCAGAATTCCTCTTTTATCCTCTCCTATATCTGACAATGATAACTTGTAGGAATCAGCTCCTGGGCCAGTAAAGCTGCTGAGATTAATCACTGTAATGGAAAGTTACTGGCGATAAAGGATTTAGCAAATTGACTCTTCCTCTATAATTGTGTGATTAACTTAATGTTAATATAAATTAAGAGAAAGTCAGAAATTATGTAGTCTGCTTCATGAAGCGTTTATGAAGACTGAAATAGGAAATCCTGCTATTTCCAAAGCTTTACATAGAAGCTGTGTAGACATGCAGTGCAATGAAAGAGTATTTTCCCCCTTCCTGATTAATTAATTCGTTTTTGTGCATCTTTATCCTTCAAACTCACGTACTCGACCAGTCTGGTAGCTTGAGGGTCAACATCAAAAAACAAGCAAAAA